TGCTCAAAAAAATTTTTGGATGTTTTATTTGTATTTGTTTTAAGCACTAGAATATTTATGCAAAGTTTCAATCATTTTTATAAACCCTCGAAGAAAAAAGTGAGAAAATTGATTTTGACTAGGGTCGCCCCTAGTCCAAAATTGAAATTGTATTTCCTACTTGGTTCTTTGCTCAAAAAATTTTTTGGATGTTTTATTTGTATTTGTTTTAAGTACTAGAATATTTATGTAAAGTTTCAATTCATTTGTATAAACCCTCGAAGAAAAAAGTGATAAAATTGATTTTGACTAGGGTCGCCCCTAATCCAAAATTGAAAATGTATTTCCTACTTGGTTCTTTGCTCAAAAAAATTTTTGGATGTTTTATTTGTATTTGTTTTAAGCACTAGAATATTTATGCAAATTTCAATTCATTTGTATAAACCCTCGAAGAAAAAAGTGATAAAATTGATTTTGACTGGGGTCGCCGCTAGTCCAAAATTAAAAATTGATTTTCTGTGGTGTACTTTTGTCAAAAAAAATTTAAGATGTTTTATTTGTATTTGTTATAAGCCTTAGAATATTTATCCAAAGTTTCAATTCATTTGTATAAACCCTCGAAGAAAAAAGTGAGAAAATTGATTTTGACTAGGGTCGCCCCTAGTCCAAAATTGAAATTGTATTTCCTACTTGGTTCTTTGCTCAAAAAATTTTTTGGATGTTTTATTTGTATTTGTTTTAAGTACTAGAATATTTATGTAAAGTTTCAATTCATTTGTATAAACCCTCGAAGAAAAAAGTGATAAAATTGATTTTGACTAGGGTCGCCCCTAATCCAAAATTGAAAATGTATTTCCTACTTGGTTCTTTGCTCAAAAAAATTTTTGGATGTTTTATTTGTATTTGTTTTAAGCACTAGAATATTTATGCAAATTTCAATTCATTTGTATAAACCCTCGAAGAAAAAAGTGATAAAATTGATTTTGACTAGGGTCCTTAGTCCAAAATTGAAATTGTATTTCCTACTTGGTTCTTTGCTCAAAAAAATTTTTGGATGTTTTATTTGTATTTGTTTTAAGCACTAGAATATTTATGCAAAGTTTCAATCATTTTTATAAACCCTCGAAGAAAAAAGTGAGAAAATTGATTTTGACTAGGGTCGCCCCTAGTCCAAAATTGAAATTGTATTTCCTACTTGGTTCTTTGCTCAAAAAAATTTTAGGATGTTTTATTTGTTTTTAGCACTAGAATATTTATGCAAAGTTTCAATCCATTTTTATAAACCCTCGAAGAAAAAAGTGACAAAATTAATTTTGACTAGGGTCGCCCCTAGTCCAAAATTGAAATTGTATTTCCTACTTGGTTCTTTGCTCAAAAAATTTTTGGATGTTTTATTTGTATTTGTTTTAAGCACTAGAATATTTATGCAACGTTTCAATCCATTTTTATAAACCCTCGAAGAAAAAAGTGACAAAATTGATTTTGACTAGGGTCGCCCCTAGTCCAAAATTGAAAATGTATTTCCTACTTGGTTCTTTGCTCAAAAAAATTTTTGGATGTTTTATTTGTATTTGTTTTAAGCACTAGAATATTTATGCAAAGTTTCAATCCATTCGTATAAACCCTCGAAGAAAAAAGTGATAAAATTGATTTTGACTAGGGTCGCCCCTAGTCCAAAATTGAAATTGTATTTCCTACTTGGTTCTTTGCTCAAAAAAATTTTTGGATGTTTTATTTGTATTTGTTTTAAGCACTAGAATATTTATGCAAAGTTTCAATCATTTTTATAAACCCTCGAAGAAAAAAGTGAGAAAATTGATTTTGACTAGGGTCGCCCCTAGTCCAAAATTGAAATTGTATTTCCTACTTGGTTCTTTGCTCAAAAAATTTTTTGGATGTTTTATTTGTATTTGTTTTAAGTACTAGAATATTTATGTAAAGTTTCAATTCATTTGTATAAACCCTCGAAGAAAAAAGTGATAAAATTGATTTTGACTAGGGTCGCCCCTAATCCAAAATTGAAAATGTATTTCCTACTTGGTTCTTTGCTCAAAAAAATTTTTGGATGTTTTATTTGTATTTGTTTTAAGCACTAGAATATTTATGCAAATTTCAATTCATTTGTATAAACCCTCGAAGAAAAAAGTGATAAAATTGATTTTGACTAGGGTCGCCCCTAGTCCAAAATTAAAAATTGATTTTCTGTGGTGTACTTTTGTCAAAAAAAATTTAAGATGTTTTATTTGTATTTGTTTTAAGCCTTAGAATATTTATCCAAAGTTTCAATTCATTTGTATAAACCCTCGAAGAAAAAAGTGAGAAAATTGATTTTGACTAGGGTCGCCCCTAGTCCAAAATTGAAATTGTATTTCCTACTTGGTTCTTTGCTCAAAAAATTTTTTGGATGTTTTATTTGTATTTGTTTTAAGTACTAGAATATTTATGTAAAGTTTCAATTCATTTGTATAAACCCTCGAAGAAAAAAGTGATAAAATTGATTTTGACTAGGGTCGCCCCTAATCCAAAATTGAAAATGTATTTCCTACTTGGTTCTTTGCTCAAAAAAATTTTTGGATGTTTTATTTGTATTTGTTTTAAGCACTAGAATATTTATGCAAATTTCAATTCATTTGTATAAACCCTCGAAGAAAAAAGTGATAAAATTGATTTTGACTAGGGTCCTTAGTCCAAAATTGAAATTGTATTTCCTACTTGGTTCTTTGCTCAAAAAAATTTTTGGATGTTTTATTTGTATTTGTTTTAAGCACTAGAATATTTATGCAAAGTTTCAATCATTTTTATAAACCCTCGAAGAAAAAAGTGAGAAAATTGATTTTGACTAGGGTCGCCCCTAGTCCAAAATTGAAATTGTATTTCCTACTTGGTTCTTTGCTCAAAAAATTTTTTGGATGTTTTATTTGTATTTGTTTTAAGTACTAGAATATTTATGCAAAGTTTCAATCTATTTGTATAAACCCTCGAAGAAAAAAGTGATAAAATTGATTTTGACTAGGGTCGCCCCTAGTCCAAAATTGAAATTGTATTTCCTACTTGGTTCTTTGCTCAAAAAAATTTTTGGATGTTTTATTTGTATTTGTTTTAAGTACTAGAATATTTATGTAAAGTTTCAATTCATTTGTATAAACCCTCGAAGAAAAAAGTGATAAAATTGATTTTGACTAGGGTCGCCCCTAATCCAAAATTGAAATTGTATTTCCTACTTGGTTCTTTGCTCAAAAAATTTTTTGGATGTTTTATTTGTATTTGTTTTAAGTACTAGAATATTTATGCAAAGTTTCAATCCATTTGTATAAACCTTCGAAGAAAAAAGTGATAAAATTGATTTTGACTAGGGTCGCCCCTAGTCCAAAATTGAAATTGTATTTCCTACTTGGTTCTTTGCTCAAAAAATTTTTTTGGATGTTTTATTTGTATTTGTTTTAAGCACTAGAATATTTATGCAAAGTTTCGATCCATTTGTATAAACCCTCGAAGAAAAAAGTGATAAAATTGATTTTGACTAGGGTCGCCCCTAGTCCAAAATTGAAATTGTATTTCCTACTTGGTTCTTTGCTCAAAAAAATTTTAGGATATTTTATTTGTTTTTGTTTTAAGCATTAGAATATTTATGCAAAGTTTCAATCATTTTTATAAACCCTCGAAGACAAAAGTGATAAAATTGATTTTGACTAGGGTCGCCCCTAGTCCAAAATTGAAATTGTATTTCCTACTTGGTTCTTTGCTCAAAAAATTTTTTGGATGTTTTATTTGTATTTGTTTTAAGCACTAGAATATTTATGCAAAGTTTCGATCCATTTGTATAAACCCTCGAAGACAAAAGTGATAAAATTGATTTTGACTAGGGTCGCCCCTAGTCCAAAATTGAAATTGTATTTCCTACTTGGTTCTTTGCTCAAAAAATTTTTTGGATGTTTTATTTGTATTTGTTTTAAGCACTAGAATATTTATGCAAAGTTTCGATCCATTTGTATAAACCCTCGAAGACAAAAGTGATAAAATTGATTTTGACTAGGGTCGCCCCTAGTCCAAAATTGAAATTGTATTTTCTACTTGGTTCTTTGCTCAAAAAATTTTAGGATGTTTTATTTGTTTTTGTTTTAAGCACTAGAATATTTATGCAAATTTCAATCCATTTTTATAAACCCTCGAAGAAAAAAGTGACAAAATTGATTTTGACTAGGGTCGCCCCTAGTCCAAAATTGAAAATGTATTTCCTTCTTGGTTCTTTGCTCAAAAAAAATTTTTTTCATCCAAAGTTTAATTTAAAAAAATCACAGTGAACTTTTAATTTGAAAAATTTGTAAGAAAGGAAAGTTTTTTGCTTTTTCTGAAGCAACGGCTGTTCCTACCTTGCCCAAAAACAATACAGCTCTTCTATAGAGCAGCACGGATCAAATGTAAAAAACTAGAAGTCTCTACAATGTCTCGTTATTGAGATTTCTTGCTGATTAACTTGCTTGCTTGCTTGTTTGCTTACAGAAAGCGTATTTTGCGATTTTTTCAGCAATGCCACAACCAATTTGAAATCTGTTTTTTGAAAATGATGTAAAATTTCAGGCACAAACTTTTCTTCTGTGACATTTTATAACCAATTTTGCTTTGTTTTCTCACAAAATGCGAAAAACTGATTTTTCAATCTGAACAAAACCAATAGATTCACACGTAAAAACGGTGTGAATATAATAATTTTAGATTTTTGCTTTAATTCAAAAAAACATGAGTTTTTAAACGTAAAACTTTTCCTGTAAAACAAGTACAAAAAAACGTTTAAACTGTTTTTTTTTTCTTCTCTATGTTACAAAGCCTGCACCCACAAAATTTACAAAATTGATGAAATTAAAAACATTTACCGCATACGTTTTAATTTAAATTGTACCTTCTACTAAAAACAAAATTACCATCTTGACCACATTAATACTATCATGCAATAAATTTATGTGTGTATGTGTTGTGTGAATTCTGTATCATGAGAGATTATATTTAATGAAGATTGTACTTACAGCTATCATCATCGTCCCACAGCACGCAGGCAATGCAAATCGCACCAATTAAACCTAATAACTGTAACCAAAAACAGAAAGCGAGAGATTAAGATTAATAAAACTTCTTCAAAGTTTATTATAATGTTAATTAAGTAGATTTTTGTCTACTAGAAGTTCATTTACGTACTGTTAGAAAAATTTGGATTGCTGAATGAATAACTTCGATCATCCAGTAGTCAAGAAGACAATCATCTACACGATCTGGACGAATAGGTCGGAAAGGATCTTCTTGCGTGAAATTCGTAAGGTAAACTGGCTTACATCCATATCCATGAATCTCAAACCATGATACACTTCCAGTGCCAATATTTAATAAATCACTATTCTGAAAATGAAAGCAAAGTGTGTTTAAAGTTTTAACTTATATAGACCTTAATTTAATTAAGCTTGATTTTATTTCATTTCATTTTTATATTTATATCAAATTACAATACAAAATCAAAGCTTTATTTTTAATTAGAGTTATCAAATGATAAATAAAAATTAATGATAAAATGAACAAAAATTTATGATTATGACATTATGACTTTTCAACAAACATCAAACAGAATACAGAAATGTAAGATGAAAATTCGATATAGAATCCAAAACATGGTGAAATATTTTTTTATTTTCCTGATTTTGAAAACGGTTCGAAAATAAAACTCGGACAAATTTTCATCAATGAAAATGAGAGTAATGCTTATTTACTTATTTTTACTTTTCCAACGATTCAAAAAATTCTGTTCCTTGAAATAAAAATGAAAGATAAAATATGGAAAATATAAAAGAACAACTTCATAAAATATGAAACGATATTAAAGTATGTAATATTGAAACAAGATTGCTCGTACAAAAACCTTGTAAAGAAGCAAACGAAAAACAAAATATTTTCTTCTCGCTAAATAGTCTCTCTTTGACGATTGATTTTTGGCAACAATCCAAATAGAGCATGCGAGTTTTTTTCCCGCCTATGAATGAAAATGAAGATGATTTTTTTTTTTTGGAAATTCGAGACACACTAATGAATGGTAACCCACAATTTTAGGCTTTTTATTTATTTTGCAGCAAAAGGAAAACACTATAGTTTTTGACTTTAGAGCCAACAACTTAATATAATTTAAGAGCATAACAAATGACTTTATTGTACATTTTATTTGTAGCACAAGACGTGCAACATTAATAGTTCTATTAAAATAACAATTTTTTTAAATGAAATTGAGCTAAAGTGATTGAAATAGTTTATAGCTTACACGTGATGCCTAATAACAGTTGTTGAGTCAATTTTCGACAATTCTCTTATCATTTACGGTATATGAAAAATTTATTAATTATTTCTTTAACATAAATGGTTCTAATTGCCTTTGATATTTTTTTCGTTCATTAACTCTCACTCCACGTAAAGAATTTCATTACTCCTCTTCATTTTCCTAACTTACTAAAGGCATGCAATCATGGTAATTGTAATTGAAAACGAAGAAAAGTCAAAACATATTTTATTGACATAATTAAAGCAGTTGTACGCATTTTGTGTCCTTTACTGCTCGCAAATAACCATTTATTTCTTTTCCTATAAACATATGTTATTACAAATATAGGAACTATGATGATCTAATAATTTCATGGACATATGTAAGAGGAATAAATTATTAAATAAATAAATTCATTGCAATAAAAATAGCCACAAAAGTTTTTGATTGTAAGCTAGTTTTGTAATCATAGTAAAATAAGTAAATTAATTAAATTATCACTTACTCTATCCAATGGACTAATATTTAAATAAAAGCAAATAATAAAAGTGTTCCATCCTATCCATAAAACGTTCCAAACTGAATACTGCAATGAAAGTTCATATTAAAATGTGAATGATAAAAAATGTTCATATTATGACGATATTACTTTGAAAATATGTCGTTCTAAATTTTAAGAACATGCATGAATTTGCGAACATTAAGTAATATCGTTCGACATGGGTTCAAATTACTTACAGAGCTCAAATATTTTCCTCTGAATTGGTAAGCACCAAATAAACCAAAAATGACGAAAATTATGTGAAGGAAATTCGCAAGTATTGGTGCAAACATATATCCTAAAAAATCGAATATTTGTCGTTCGATGATAGTAAGCTGGAAGGAAATAATAAAATAAATTTATAGATTTTTAACTCTACGATTTAGAAGAATAGTCTCATGAGCATTGCAATAAAAAAATTCTTTGGGATATAGGAGCAAAATCATTAATTATGAGGATGATAAAAATCTGGTTTATAGCTTTGAGATTTATATTATTGTGAAATAAGTATGGAGCTATTGTTAGAGAAAAGATGATGGAAGTAACCCAAAACAATAAATCATTAACACCCAGAAGACATTTGATGTATTTACAGAGCAAAGTATTTAGTATATTATTATGCGTACACGCAAGGCATCCATGAATTTTCTCACAATTTTTTAATTAAACTTTATTTTACTGCCTATAATTGTTTGCTGTCATGAAGTGATTTTTGAATTACAATTATTTAATATCAAGGTTACAACTTTCCGGTGTTGAAAACCCTAAACTAAATGAATAAAACTCTTGTTCTGTGTAATCAAGATGGGAAATAGAATTTCCTTAAAAATTAACTACATAAGTAAGACGTGTAGAATAGACTTTCAAAGAAGCCCTTCAAAAACTTTGACAAGTAAAGTAATTAATAATGACATTTTTTAAACGATAAAGTAAGAAGGAAAAAGCTGTAAACACATTTTTTTCCTTAAATTTTGTCATTTTTTGGTACGTCGTAAATATTGAAAAATTATCGAAACAGAAGCCTTCTAATTTTCATAATGTTCAGTATTATGAAATTAAGTAGCATTTCTTGCCAATAAAGCAGTTTAAAAAGTATGTTTTATGAGATTCATTCATTCACTTATGACGTTATGATTTTTAGTAAATGTTTGATGCAATGTATTTGAAAATAAAATAATTAAAAGCGTTGCAAATATTATCAATTGTGCTACTTTTATTGATCGATGATAAAAATGAATTCTCAATCTATAGATTATTTCATCAAACACAATTAAAAGCATGACGCATGTATCGTTATCTCCAATAATATCAAATATATTTTATTACTAGCTTGTTATACGTTTTTAAAAATATTTGACTGACTTGAGAATAAATCGTCAAAAATAATAAAAAAAAAATTATAAAAGTTTTAATAATATTGATCCAAAACAAAAATTTAAATTATGTTTGTATGAGGCATGCAAAATACGTCCAATATCAAATAAAAACATGAATGAAAAGGGAGACAAAAAAATAATATGAAATTTCGCAAGCAATCTACTCGCTTCAAAATAAATAAAAAGACAGGTGCGTTTACTAATAACAAAAACTATATAAGTTTTTTTATTCTCTCTCTCTCTCTTTCTAATAAAATTCGACGTAATGTAACAACGAAAACAACAGTTCCACACATTGAAACTCCGTATTCTTAAATGTAGTTGAATAAAACTCTATTTTGAACCCAAATACCGGTGTAGTGGTTTTTATTTCATTTATATTAAAAATTACTCTCAAATTGAAAATCCTGGATTGTGTTTACAAATGCTTTAACCAAAAATCAATTTTATTGTGTTTTCATGCAACCACTCTAAGAGTAGAAATGATCGTTATAAAAAAAAAACGCTTTTCTCTTAACAAGGAGTAAAGAAAGGAATAGAAGCATTCTGTTTACATTAACTGTAGAACGAAAAGATATAATAAATGTAACAGGTAGCAGATAAAAATCTTAGAAAGGATTACAAAACGCCTTCATAATACTTTTTAAAAATGTAAAACATTCGAGTTATATATAATTAAATTTAAAAGTATTGCCATGGACTATAAGAAATACAGTTTTATGAATATGGGATATAATACACTTTTTTAATCTTTTTTAGTGATGATGAGCATAGTATTTGCCTTAAAAAATAACAGAAGTGCGTTATTTTTCTTCTCGGTTCGTTTACTGATTAGGTTACTCAAAAAATACGACTCTTTAGAACCCCCCCCCCCCCCTCCTCTCTCGTTTAAAAAAAATCAAGAACCCCCTCCTTTTATAAGTGAACGCAATTGTTAGATTGGGGGTGTACAAATACTGCTTTGTGACAAATTACGACGAAAAACTCTCTAATTATGACTAAGCTTTCTCGATTTCTCGGTCTCGACAAATTCTCGAGACCGAGACCGAGACCGAGACTTCCCGGGAATTTCCGGGAAGTCTCGACTTTAAAAACTACTTAAAATTTCGCTGAAAGTAATTAAAAAACACTTTGAACATGTAGATTACGTCTATTTGTTATTGAACTTCTGGATATATTCCTTGTTATGCGGTCAGTCAAACTAATTTTATTGTCTTAATACTAATATAAAATATAATAGAAATACGAAATACGTAATGATAAAAGAAAAGCATAATGATAAGAAAGTGTGTCCCTATTAAAACTATTCTTTTTTTTGTGAAAATGTCAATAAGTTCGATAACGGTAAATTTAGTTTCAAACTATGAAAAATTATAGGAGTTTTTATTTTAAATTCAGGTTTTACGTTGAAATATTAATACATTTTAAAAACTGCTTAAAACTTTTACTAATAATTAATTTATTATTGATATTTATTCACAAAAATTGGATAGGGTAAATGACTTTGAAATTTGCGCACTCGTATGAAAACGAAAATTTTAAAATTATATGTAAAAATGTCACTTCTGTTCAGACGATCAATGGGAAATGTTTGTAGAACACCAGCGCAGATGTTTTTGCATCATTTTTAGTGATATTAAACCATTAGGAAGCTCAATAATTTGCACCCGAAAAATCCCATACAAAAAGAGAAAAAATCCCATACCTCCGAAGAGATTGAAGCAAATGAAAATTTCATGTGTGAAAATGCGCAAATTTCAAGGTCATTTACCCTAACTGTAAGATTAACTACAAACTGTGATGGGAAAAATTCTAAAATTATCATTTTTACTTAAATTTTTTTCTTCTCTAGTCTCGGGTCTCGGTCTCGGAAAATTCTCGAGACCGAGACGAGATCGAGACCGAGACTTCCCGGGAAGTCTCGGTCTCGATTTCGTCATCGGGAAAGCATAATTATGACTTTATTTTTGGGTGAGTCAAAATCCATTTTATTTGTATAAATTCTCATTTTCTATGGCTCTTAGTCATACAATCGTAACCTTTTCGCAACCTTTTTACACTTTATACTTTTTTCATATATTATTATTCTTTCATTTCGGAATTTAAAATGTCACTTCCAAACTTAGCAGTTGTATTCACAGAAATGTTTGTCATTAAATAATAATAATGAGAATATTATTTACTATAGCTGTTTAATTGAAAGTGTTGATTCTCTTCTTATAATCGTTACACATGAGCGTTCGTATAACTTCAAACTAAATCGGATCATGAATTCAAATGTTCTCTATAGAATGCAGAATGAATTTAATATTATCACATTTATTTTTATAAATTATAAAGGAGGCATTAGGTTTATAAGGATTTCCTATAATGATATTAAATTTATTTTCTCATTGTACTGCTGATAACATTCACGTATACGGTAATACTTATGCATAAGTAGTATTTTAATCCTTCTGTCTATCTGGTTTCGACATATACTTCAATTTAAAAAAAGTATACTTAGAATTTTGTTTTTATGATACTCTCAAATGCATGTTCATGCTGGAGTGTACTCAAGAGAGAAATTCTTATATTTTATTCTCGATTTTACCTGTTTCACTTCCTTTTCAACAGCAAGCAAGCAAGCAAACAATTGTGATCACATACACAACAAAGTTGAGAAGGAGACGAAAGAAGAGGAAAAATGTGAAACAGTAAGAAATCATTTATTAATTTTCGAGTGTGTTTTGAGCAGAAATTCTCAAGAAAATTGTTGCTCTGTATATGTATTCTTATCTGTACAATGTATATTTCTATATGAGTAAACCTGTATCAAGACATAGGCAAATATATTTAACATACATATACTGACATAGAGGAATAAAATGAAATGTTAAACCTCTGTCAAATACACACAATTTATATCTTTAGATACATATATATATATATATTTATATTGCTCTTCAGCACGTTATATGTCTTTGTTTTATTTCTCACTTTTTTAACGTACATTTTTTGGGAAACATTAAATACAGAAACAGCAAATTTACAATAATATTGAAATATCTTACGCTCTTATAAATACTTCAGTCGTTGAAAGAACACTCATCTCTTTTCTATGAAAATTGCGAAATCAATTTATTTAATCGATTATATACTCCCGCAGACCAAGATAGATGCTAAACGGAAATACCTTTTCGTTTGCAATCCCTTACCAAAAATAAATTAGAACTTCTGCGATATCATAAGCATAGAACATAATTTATCTAGATTAAAAAAGTTGGTTGCATTTTTTCTTCTTAATACTCGTTCATTTATGTTGGCAAACTACACTATCAACTGTTATGACACTTTTATAAGTTCAAATAGTAAAAGATAATATTATACCAAGATAATATGTATATTCTGCCAATTTTCTTTGCACTTATGGAATAGTATAGCCATTATGGAGCCAAAAATACATTTAGTTTGTCTGTAACTTTCATTTTTTAAGGATCATCATTTTATGTGTGTAGGGAGTTTTAGGGAAATTAAATAACTCGGTCAATAAATGTTGCTATGCTATTTGATTCATTAAAGATGATTAGAAAGATTTGATAAAATCAATTAATTTTATCTCAACTGTGAACCATTTTTTGTTAATTTTATCGTTAAGCGTGTGAATCCATATTTAAGTGTTAAGTAAGAAAAAGTAGTCAGAAAGAACTTAAAAAAGTAAGAATTGTGTTAAAACGAAATGACTTGCATTAAGAATGCCTAATAAAATGAAATCATTCTTTCAACGTTTTCTACTACTTTTTACCATTCTCTTTCTCTGTTTATTTTTACGCTACAGAGGTTTCGTTTCAGTTTTTATTTAAACTATAGGTCATTTTGCTCGAGACAATTCCTTTACTTTAGTTTGTCACTCTTTTTGAAAGAAAAAAATTGTTCTGGATATTTTTACATACATTTGACATGAGAAAAAAGTTTTAGACGGCTTTAGACACATTTATTATTAAGCATTTCAATTTCAATCAAATAAAATGAAAGTGATATTTCTTATTTTATTATGAGTAGCTTTTAAGCACAGTAAGTATCGAGGTCAATTAATACAAATTTAGAGAAAGATTTGATCGATTTTTCTCCCAAGAAATTAATTACAATTAAGATTTAAGAAGCAAGAGAACAAGGAGTAAGAAATGGAAACGTATCTTTTGTTAGAATGCTTTTATAATTTTCTTTTAAGGCAGCTCTTTTATGATTCTTAATTGATTTATTAAGGATAAGGCTTGATTTTAGAACTCGAAACAAAGAATCTCTTGTAGTTAATCTCTCAGAAGAATTAAAAATGCTTAAAGAAGCAACGAATACTTAAGGTTTTTTTTTTGATTTTTTTTATGTATATCACATGTTAAAATTCCCACGTTATAAAGTTTTCAAGTAAAGTACGATAATTTTAATAAGAATAGATTTCTCTTATTTAAAATAATAATCAGTCAATAGATTTTTAATTCCACGCTCAAAATTCAGGCAAGTGTAACAAATCACTAACTGCGGTGTTGAAATGAAATTCGTTGGGTATTTGATATGTTTTTATTTTTAACAATTTTTAATGATGTTTTCTTTTCAGACTAATAAATTACCACGAAAAGTGGTCGCTTTATTATTGTTGATTTTACTTTTTAATAACTTGTATCGCACATACAATTAAGTATCTACTTTCACAATAGCGAAGATATGTATGAGAAAAGAAAGAGAAGAAATAAGTCGATTTTCATGAGAGTTTAAATAAAATTGAGAACATCGAGAACAGGATGTAGCTAATAAACATTCTTAACGTATTGCAACAGTTCTGCATACACTTATGAAACGCTGGGAAATGTTGTGAATAATAATACAGAGATAAGACAACACTCACCAATTGCAGCGAACACACAAATAAAAGATAACTTCGTCTAGTGCACATTTTTTTAAAGTTGCTGATTCATATATCCATTTCAGCAAATGAGCATTCGATATAATTTGCATTTAAAGAATTATTTCTATCTAAGCTTGTAGTGATGCACATTTTCCATTCCACTACTCATTGTTACATATAATTTTTGGCAATCTTTTTTTGACCTCAATGACTTTAAACGAACGAAACTTTCGTTCACTGCTGAAATATTTCTCTTATTTTTATTTTCACTTAAATTTATTTTCATAACGCTATTTCACACAACTTTGGCTTTTTAACTTCATAGATAAATTTATCGATTACTTTTATTTATTTTTTCTTATCAAACAATTGATTTTTTGAGCCTAAAACACATTATGCACATTTCATGCTTCTTCTTCAACTATATTTTTGGATTATATAAAAAAATAAATTACGAGTAAACTCGACACATGTCTTATCGATCGAACGACTCACGAGAAACTGAACATTATTTCCTTCAATGTTTTCTGCCGTTCAGAGCATAAACATTCGCTACTGAGAGAAAATCACACTAGAGGCATTCAAAATGGTACACAAAATAATATTGATAGTATCAAAAACTACATATTGTGGATGAAATCATTAAAAATAAATTTTGAACATGTTTAGGAAAAAAATCTTGTTTAATTATGGTCATCCGTACAATTAATGCTTTTTTTGACTTATAACTGATATGATTCAACTTATTTTGCAACAGGTGGCCCTTTTCTCTCTCAATGTTTTTCTCTCTGTAAAATTTTACATCAAAAGGACTGTGTATCATACATAAATCGATTGTTAATTTTGTCATCACATGTCTGTTTTACTAAAACCGTTAGAATTTAAAAGTTTTGAAAATTGTCATTTCAACAAAATTATAGCAAATTGTAACGGAAGTATAAAATTTGAAAAACAAAAAGCAGTTCACTCAAGAAGTTCACCAATTATAGCAAACTCAAAATTTTCACTCATTCCAAAGTCTAAAGTAGAACTAATCAGACGTTTTTTTAAAGCGAGATAAATCTTCTCAGCCACGTTTAACTTCAATAAAATCTTGAATCAATCAAAAAGTAAGTAAATCATCAAAGAAAACTATTATTATTAATATTAAATACAGTAGCAATTACATCTATATTGTTCAAAACATAAAAAAAGGAACAATAGAACACGTTTTAATAATACAATTTGTATTTTTCTAAAAGCATTAATTCGATCAAAATGGTTGCTGAAATTGAATATGCCAATTTGGAAGGAAGGTACAAGTATGTTGGATTCGATGTTGACACGACTGGAAGGCGTTTGATTGACGAGATTCTGCAGATTGCTGCATATACACCAGATGAGCAGTTTTCACAGCACATTATGCCTTTAATGAATTTAAATCCAGGAGCAAGGCAACGCCATCAAGTGCGTGTAATTAATGTTGGGAATTTCCGCATGCTTAAATGTATGAAAAGTTATAAGGTACGCATTCGACGTTATTTTTTTGAATTAAAAGCATTTTCTTTAAAAAAAAATTTTTTTTATAGGTTATTAAAACAAAAACCGAAATAGCAACATTGATGGACTTATTGTGCTGGCTTGAGAAAATTAATGATGAGAAAGATGGAATCATTTTGTTATATCATGAACAATCTAAGCTTGCACCTTACATGCTTATTGAGTCAATGAAAAGATTTAACCTCTTTGATAGATTCAATAAGATAGTCAAAGGATTTGTCAATGGATATGAACTATGTGGAGACGATCAGAAAGGAAAAGGATTAAAATATCTGACATTGGCTCAAAATTACAAAGTTCATGCTGATTGCTTAAAAATGGATGTAAAGGAATCGGAAGAATTTGAGGGAAATGCAACAGTTCGTGCAAAGTTGAGTTTTGAAATATGTAAGCTGATGTCTTATGAAGGCGAGATTAAGGAACAAGACGAGAAGGAAATTTATGATGCAATGAACAAGTTTGTATCGAATAAAGCTCGCCCAATTGATCGTGAATTAGATGAATTGGTTGAAATGGAAGAGAGCATCACTCGTCAAACAGATATGCGAGATATTTTCCTAACATATTTTTCAACATCTCGTTTTCATCGGTAAGTCTTGATTCATTTTAAAGTATAATCATTGCATTTTCTGTTTTTTTTTTTTTTATTAATTTCTCTAGTCGTCGCGCATTAGACTTTCGACGTGCATTGGCAGATCAAAAACATGACTCAAAAACACTGCAAGCAATTTGGGATAGTGAAAAACGTGAGGGTATTGAAAAATTAGTAAAAGGCTTGGAATCAATCAAGGAAGAAGATCATGAAGAATTGATTAATATTTTGGAACATCATTATGATCCAGAGCAGAAACCATTTAAACCTGTTGTTCGACGGGAAAACAATGGATCTGGAAGAGGTGGACAAAATATTCGTCGTCGTGGTTCTCAACGAATGAATAATAAGGAAAATCGAGGATCCCGTCCAAACTCAGGTCGACGTCGTTCGCGAACCAACAGCAGACGTCGAATGTCTGGAGGTTCCAATATGAACCCAAAGACAGGAAATGTTCAGAAAGATCAAGAAATGATTAATGACTGTGGAGATTTCCTTCATAGCGATTAAGCAATCCTCTTCAATGTAAAATACGCTAATTCAAAGAAATATTAATTTGAAAATTCAAAATCATTAGGATACTTTATTGGCGTTACATTTAAGTTTGAACAATTAGAATTGATTTTGAATTTTCATCAAAAGAACTTTTCTTTCATATATCTTATATTAACATTCTTCCAGGAAAGAATGACATGAGAGGAATATAATAATTATAGAGCGATTATTTTGTAATAACTTGAGTCCTGACTATTTCTTCAGGTTGTTTGAAACAAATCAAATGAATTAATTGTGTTATTTACCTTTTTTTGATTGTTATAAGAAGAATAAATATGGATGGAAAAATACCGAACAACAAAAATTTAAATGAACTTGCTCATTTCTGTTTTGAATTTGCTTTGTTTTTATATGTGAAATAAATGCTACTGAATTTTGGTCTATAGCAGTCTTTAGTGAGTTTTCGTAAAATTAAGAAGACAAAAAAAAGATAACGAGATATAAGTTTAAAAGAGGAGAAAGTGAATATTCGCAATATTGTAGTGTGTAGTTTGGCCAATACGCAATTTAAGTAAAACTGAAAAATTAGTTTATTGTGCAAGAAGGAACTTAATAAAATAGAATGACATCAATACAAAGTCAATCAGATCTTTTATCGGAGATTGATAAAGATGAATATTTCTATGGACTTAAAAAGAAGATATATGCAGCATCTAAATCTGGCTTTGCACTAAATTTAGCGACACTCTTAAACAGAATTGTTAATCCAGATGTCCGCAACATTCTTGTGAATCAGGTATTTATTTAAAAATCTATCGATGGAAAAATTCTTTCAAAGACGCGCAAAAAGATTTTCGTTTCATCATTGGCAGTGAAAATGTCACATATGATTTTCATTTTTTCTCTCTCATGCGGATATTCACGACAAAATTTACATACATCTCTTGATTTTAAGGCCATCGTCGTTATTAAAAAATATATTTATATATGCTAATGACCTGTAAAAGTTAAAGCGGGTAGACTTAAAAAGTGCTAGAACCAAAAATGAGATAAATATTATCATGATCTCATCATCAAGATTCTTTTTGGGCATGTCCAATAACTTCGTGCAAGAGTCGCGGTTTTTAGTGTGAAAATTCATTCTCACATACTTTAAATGACATTTCCTGGTTCAAAAAACTTAGCATGGCTTTCACATTTGACAATGGAAATTTACTTGGTGCTTTGAATGCTTTTATAATGAGCCGCATTAAGAATGTTACGAATTCGTATTTGCTTTCAAAAGCTCTTATAATTTTTTTCAAGTCAGCATAATCCGTGCCTTTATAAATTTTCTGTTATATCGTTCTCGCAGAAAAATAAACACATTTTATTGTACAATAGCATCTGACTGGCTCAACAACAAAGAAAATTCCGCAGAGAATTTTCATTTCAGAAAACAACCTCTTTAATACAAAGAAGGAAATTAAGGAAAATTCTCAAACTGTGACCTCTTTGAAAGTAGAAAAAAATTGCGCTTCACTTTGATTCCAATTTTCTTTTTAAAACGCATCAAATTACTAAGAAGATAACAATAATCATGTTAAGGTTGCTCATAATCATTAAATTTTAATAACGCAATTTAATTTTCTCTTAAATCAGATACTAATGACGCTGATGTATCATATTTATAAGAAGAAATCCATGCGACGATGAAAAGAATCAAAGACACAAAAAATAACGTAAATTTCTATAAATATCCACCAAAATCTCTTACTCATAGGTATTAAGAAGTCGGCAATAATAATCATAAAGTCTCGTAAAATCTCGTTTTCGGAAATGTCCTTGAATCATTGAAATGCAATATAAATTATCGCCATAATAAACTGTCCAAACAATTATAATATGCAGCTGCACAGATAGGTCAATAAATCTTATAGGAATCTTTATTCTTGAGTTTAATGAATAAGATCCTAATTTTAGAACAGTTAAAGTAAATTATAGCTACAGAGCTTTTCTTACAACTAGACAAATGTACTGACAAATTATATGATAAGAGAATCATCATTAATGTATGATCCCTTTGAATTAATTCAAATCACTTTCCTTTGATCCTAGGAATTTATTGAGGACGATGGTCAAATTTTAACGCCATTGGCAGCAGGTTGCAGATATGGTCGCGAAAAGGTAGTAGAAATGTTATTAGCAAATGATAAAATAGATTTAGACAAAAGGTGCACTATCAAATTTGATGGGCATATGGTGAATGGAGCTTCAGCCTTGTGGATTGCTGCTGGATCAGGTATTAAACAAACATTTGTTCAATCAATCTTTATTAATATGAATTTTGGCAGGACATTTGAATATTGTTAAGCAGCTAGTGAAGCATGGAGCTAATGTAAATCACTGCACAGATACCAATTCGTCACCTATAAGAGCAGCATGTTTTGACGGAAGACTTGACATTGTACAATATTTAGTAAATCATAATGCAGACATTAATCTAGCCAATATTTACAATAATACATGCCTCATGATCTCATCTTATAAAGGCCATACAGAAGTTGTTGAGTATTTGCTTCAAAAAGGAGCGAATGTAAATGCACAAGCAAATTGCAAAGCCACAAGTTTACATTATGCTAGTGAATGTGGTAATTTGGAAATTTGTAAATTATTGCTTGATCATGGTGGAAACATAAATATTACTAATGAATATGGCATGACACCATTCATTCAAGCAGGAGAACGAACGAAAGAGGATGTCATTGAAATGTACTGTACCCACGAAAATCTCTTAACCAAAGAGCAGGTATTTTATATGTTTTGCATATCCAGAATATTCAGGTTTGACATGAAAGGATTTTTTTTTAGAAAATCGATTGCTATGAGCTGATTGGTGCTTCTTTTGCAAACGATAAGGATAACTATAATCTTTCCAAAGCTTTCTATTACCTGCACACAGCAATGATGCTTAGATATGAAGATCTCAGCAATATTGTAAGAAAAGAGCTGAAACCACCAGTTCCTGCATACGAAAATTGGATAGAATGTACATCACTCCAAGATCTCGTAGCTATTCAATATAATCATAACTCACTACATATGGAAGCATTGACAATTCGAGAAAGAATTTTAGGAACTCAATGCCCAGAAGTATCTGGACCTGTTGTTTTTAGAGGAGCTGTTTGCGCTGATAACGGGAGATTCGATAGATGTATCGCTTTATGGCAACATGCATTAGAACTTCGACAAGATAATAAAATATCAGTTCAGAGAGATTTATTGAGATTCGCACAACTTTTTAGTCAAATGATTCATGTTGATACTGAAACAAAAATGACCAGTGTTATGGATGTTCTTAATGCATCTATAACTGAGCTTCACCGGAATCAGGGAAAAATTATGAATCCAGGGCCAAAGGATGACATTGAAATCATAGTAGAAGAATATGAAACAAATATCTTTACTTCTCTGTATTTGTTAACAATTATAACAAAATTAATGAGAAATCGACAAGTCAAGATAACGTCGGAGAACTTGAAAGAACTTTATAGGATGGTATTTAAATTGAATCGTCTTGGGTTAAAACTTAGAGATGGACAAAGTTTACTACACTTAGCTGTTAATGGTGCATCGCCTGTTGATGATTTTCACACAAGCGACGTTTGCAAGTATGTCCAAGACTTTCGAAATTTTATAGTCTTCGCATCTATTGCAATATTTTTTTACAGATTTCCTTGTATTGATACAGTAAGACTCCTTCTTCATTGCGGTGCATCAATTGACAATTTTGATCGTGAAAGAAATTCTCCTCTACACACTCTTGCTTCAACCTTCCCGGCATTTAGAACTAATGTGAACGAAATGATTGCCAAAGCTGAAGAAATAATCACAATGTTCATTAATTCTGGAATGCATCTCGATGCTGTCAATACAGATGGATCGACCGCTGCCAAATCATCGTCTTTACGTAAGTTAATCACTTTTTTTAAAGGACATTGCTTTTAACGCGTTAAAAGTGGATCAGTTTGAAAATCACGCCATTTTCACCACCGTATTGTTAATTATCAATAATTTTCTATTTTTAGAGCAACTAGAAATGTTCATAAAGCGACATGAAATCAATTCTATAACACTAAAATGTCTTGCATCGAGAGTGATTGCACAACATAAAATCAACTATCGGAATTTTGTACCGACAAACCTTGAGAAATTTATTCAACTTCATTCAACCGAGAAAATATAAGAACTGGACATGAAGGAGTATCTAATAAATTTTCATGAGATAAAGTAGTAATCACTTCAATATATTACAAACACTAAAATTTTGAATAGACTGACTGTCGCCACTAATAGCCTCAAAAAAAAAGCTTTACGTCTTCCAAAACAATTAACAGTGATGAAAGGAGCGTGCTTCCTTTTTGTTAATGATTTTCTTTATTTTACTTCAGTGAAAAATGTGATAATTCCAATCTTTTTATTTCTTTTTTTTTTGTTAATTCCTTTTATTTAATTGGTTTAGTAATTTTGAGCCTATTCGCAGAAATTTATTAGAAATGAGGAAAACCGATGAAAGACGAAATTTGTGTATTTATGGAAATGATAATTTATATGGAAATAAATGTATATTGAAAAATATTTTCTAGACTTCAACAACATAAATATCATGTGTGATTTTATACGCTTAACTTGTACTTTCTATTTTTTTTGGATTTCATATTTTATTTTGTAACAAGAACAGAAAAGAATACATAAACCAGTAATAAAGCCGGTAAGGCAGATATAAGAATGACACGAAAATCTTTTTGTATATTGTTTTAATTAACCGTCAAAAACATCTTTAAAATTGCTTGAATGTTGTGCCTAATCTTATTTAACATTCATTAATAATACATTCATCTGTAAGATGGACTTCGAAAGAGTGTGAAATAGTTTAAAATAATTAACCAAAAAATAAAGACGAATTGCTAAAATAAAGAATTGTGTATGTCCATAAAACCCAATGGAAAGTACAATATAAGGACGAAAATGGATTTTCCTAATGAATATTTGATGACCTTTCAAGACACATATGATTCGTGTCAATCGATATATCCTTTCCGTGCTCATTATCAGTATGTAAAATAACTGGAATCTACACGAACATATAAAGGAATAAATAGTGTGCATTGCTAGTCCACATATATGCTAAAAAAGTCAGCAATAATAATTGGCCTGCAAGCCTTTGCGACGTCTTATACATAACTGCATAAAAAAGGCATGTAAAAGTTCTTCTACAACAGCATTTATAGACTATATTCGCCACACATTCGAGGATAGAGTAAGTAAAATTTCCATTCTGTTTTGCCCCCAAATATGTAACACAAAGCATTGCGACGTAAATACATAAAAAGTTTTTTTTTTTTTTATAAAGTTAGTCATGTGGAAAATTTTCTAAGCTTAACATGCATATTTTGAGAAACTATGTGAAATAAAGTTTACATTGTTTTGCTCCTTGTACAGATTATAATAAATGTGATTAGTGAGCAGCAAATAAGTAAAAGTTATTGAATCGTAATGCCTCATTCTAAGTGAGAATTTATTTAAATTTTAATAAGGATTTAAATGTTTGCAGCAAGATGTGAGTTTTCTATAATATTTACGTTAAACAGACCATGCACGCTTGAATTTATAGCTTAAAAAAACTTGCTGTTCATAAACTTAACATAGAATTCAAAAACTTTTCAATGCACCAAATGTTAGTCATTCTCGATTTAAAACATATAATCAATTGGAACTCGAAGTTTTCAGTACTTTTCAATTGTGAAATGACAGGTTTTGAAGAATTAGAACGAATGTGCTTAAATAATTCCGTTTGGGTTGCTTCTTTGGTTGCACCAATTCAATGACATATCAATGAACAGTATGAACATGCAATAATTGAGTGTAGATAAATTGATAAATTCAATAACAAAAAAAAAAGTGTAAAGGAAAAGGACAAAAGTAAATCAATAACTGATCGATAAAAGCTTTCATGCTTCCAAGTAGTTTGCGTTGTCATTTTCTTCATATTCATCGTGGGAAATAGAAAGTACTAAATTAGAAATGAAAATGAATAGACATTTCGCTATCTCCTCAAATAATTTATTAAATATTTTACGAGTATATCTTTCGGAAGAAAAAAGAGGAAGAACCATAGTTTTATGGGAAATATATTGTCGTTAATTTTTTGCAGATGATAATTCTACTGTATCTAATTGTTATCACAGGCTGGGCCTTACTAATTCTAATCATTAAATGTCGTAAAGCTCGAGAAAAGAGAATTGCTTTGGAACGACAACAAGGTGAGCTTAAAAAAAAATAAATAATGAAATGTCACTTAATTCCATTTTCTATGAATTTGAATTTTTAGCACAACTTCAGAATGCAGTTCATGTGATACAAATTGGAAATCAATTTTACGATGTTATTCCTGTATCACGATGTCATCATTCTAATTCTAGATGTAGAAGTTATCATATAAGACATTCTGACTCAAATTCACATATCAATCCTACTTTTGTACTCGACGAAGGAGTATATCCAAGCGGTATGAAATACGTCACTGACATTAATTGTTATCAATGAATTTTTATTATTTTAGCATCAGCTTCGAGTATAGAAGCACCTCCTTCTTACGATGATGTAATTAGACTTCCTAATCAATATCCAAAGCGCAATTCTTCAAATAATGAAAATCCACCAACATTAGAAGAAATTGAGCGTGTTAATTCAAACACGACAATTAATTCACAATCTACGGCAATTTTTATTACGTCACAGGATCATAATTTGACAACTAATCGGGATACAACATTGCGTTAAGTTTATTTCGTTATGTCCTTTATTATGTGTAAAAAGATTTACTGTCACTTGCTTTCACTTCCTTGAGTGTAATTATGGATCTGATTTTTAAACCTTATTTATATTATATGTAATAATTTTAATAAATTTGAAAGGAGTGTACTCACAAATGAGTTTTGGCTTTTCTTTTCTTTAGGATTTCTTTAAAGGCTATTTATTTTTTATGATATAAATCCAATACCTACAAAATTTCTAAGTTTTTCAGCAAAAATGTTTGTTTCGTAAAGTCATGCAAATTTGTTCTGTTTGACAATATATTATCATAATAATTAACTTGAGCACCACACATTATTATCTCACAATTGTTGTTCATAACATGAGTACGAGGGTTTTCAGAGCTTTTATTGAATAGAATATCAACATTTTTTAAATCAAGAAAAATTTCATCGCAGTTTGCTTTCAAACTTAATGATATTGTATTAATTTTAATTGTAATTTTACCTTTGATTGAGATACTTAAATACAGTCCACTCGTTTGTAAGATCTTAGAGCTATCGTTTTTAACTTTTCACTTCTCAAAACATTAATATCCATCTGGATATAAGCTTTATAAAACTTTTAAAAATACAAGTACTCAGTTTTAAATTTTTACAATCTTATTTGAAAATTCAATGAAAACTTTGCTGAAGCAATTTGAAATTTTTCCAAAGTTTTTCAAATATAAGGTAAGTAAGTAACTCTCGTTTGAGAGTGTCTAGGACTGAAAAAATAAAAAAGTTTCCATCTACAAATATTTGTAATCCCAAGATTACAAGAAGACCCCACCTAGGTGATAAGGTAAGAAAAAAAAGTTTTTTTTTTATAATTTCAAAGAAAAATAACAATTTGTCACAAGTTTTCTCGACTTGTCTCTTGCTAGTGCATGCAAACATAAAATTACGCGGCATGAAAAAAATATTGAGACAATTTTTTCTATGCGTAATGATGAAAGATGAATTACGCCTTATGTTCATAGGCAAAAAAAAAAAAATATAAAAAATGAAGATATCAAGATGATAAAGTATTCAAGTTATTTCATTGGTATACTGCTGTTTTATGAGATAATATTTGCTTAACTTTTGATGCTTCTATTTTTTGTAGATTTGGAAATGACTTTATCCAGCTTTTAAAATTGATTTCAATAGATTTTGCTCGGTTTTCAATTTAATTTGCTATAAAAACTTTCTTAAATTTATTAACTTAACTATTTTTTTTTAAATTTCCTAAAGCTTACAAATATATAGGAAATCTAGAACTTGTTCTGAATTTTAATTTATTTAAACATCACTCGTTAAAAATTTCTCCTTTTAAATTATCGTACACCTGAATTTGGAGTAAAAAAGTGGTAGTTGAAAAACCAGTAAAATAATCGAGTGCTCTTGATTGATTTTCACTTACCAAAATATTTACTTTTTGAGGCAATGTAAGGTAATATGAGTAATGGATTATTAGTCACTTCTTATTTCTTTATTTATTTTATTTTATATCTCGTAATATATCATCAAAACAAGTTGAAGACAGAGAGCTAAGTAGAGTTGAAATATTAATTTTTGTTCCTTTTTTAACATTTCGTGAATATATTTTTACCAAGTTAATACAGTTGTAAAAAAACTGTAGCTGCTCTATGAACTGGAGAAGGATTTATTTTAAAATTTATAGGAATTCATTAAATCTCTTCATGCATATTCATGCATATTCATGTTTATTAAGTTGCTGTTGCTGTTGAATAAAAACTTTTCTTAATTTTTTATGATCTGCATTGTTTTTTGCTTATCTAAATAAATTCATAGTGCTTGTAGCATAGCATTATTGAAGAAAAACTTCTCTATGCATTTACATTTATTTTATTTTTTATCTAAATATACCGTCACCATATCTTTCTGCTCATTTGCTCATTGTCTTCGATTTCCTCATTGAAATCATTGTGTTTCTTCGTTCTTTTGTAGGATGTCTGACAAATTGTAGGCACATTCAAAGCGATTTTTTTCACAATCTTTCTCTCTCTGATCATTCATTCCTTATACCCTTGATGTTCGACATTTCGATGATGAAAAAGTACGTGCGGAAATTAGACATGCAAATCAATTTAATGGCACACCATACAAACTGCTGTGCTTTCTTCCTTCTTGCTCTCGATTCAATTCAAAATGATAGCAAAAAGTAATGAAAAGCCTTTTCATTATTCACTTCTATCATTCAGTGATGCTTTTTTTTCCCTCCATTCTTCATGTTCCGGCGTGCGTATATAACTTCATTAACTGCCTTTCATGTTTATAAAACGCAAATATCAGCAGTGGTATTGCGGAAAAAAAATGATGAAGTTGTGGGGTTCGGCAATGCTTTTGGGAATTCAAGCATAAATTGTTTTTTGATCGCTTTTCGATGTAAAAAATATAGAATTGATTTACAATGCGATTTAAATTCTGTTATTTTCTTGTTTTTATCACTTTACCGTCATGAGAGGATTTCATCAGACATGAATTATTTAAAGAAATTGTAATAATATCTGACATTTCTTATCGAATTTAATTGAAAATTTCATTTCTTCTTAGTTTTATTTTTATGTATTTAACTTTCAATCATTCTCTTTAAAGCTTAAATTAAAGCTAAGCTTTAATACAATGATTATGGCATGAATCTGAAAAAATTTACACAAACTCCTTGACAATTAAATGTTTTACATATTTTTATTTCAACAGTTTTTTAAAAAACAGTTTATAAATGTTTTTGCAACATAAATTACAGAAAAAGTAACAACGTCACATACACAAATCTATAAATCATTCTCATGTTATTTCAAAAAAATTTACATTAATATTTATTGCGTTTTAAATTATTAATTGCATGTGCATAAGTTCTGACATAATTCATTTGCACAAAAAAATTAATGAAAAAATATTTCCTGAATAACACGATTCACAAAAAAATATTTTCGGAATTGTTAATTGATCATTTTCATCAATTAAAATAAAGCATAAAGCTTATATGAGGTTTGACAATAAATATAAATTTTTCATTTAACAAAAAATGAATACCAATAAAAACTTTCACTAGAATTTAATTGGTTTCATAGTTTTCAGGCAGATAATGTGCTTTTTAAACCGAATTAGAAGTGTAATAAAAGAAAGTGATATTTTTACGACCTTTTCATACTATTAAATGTCAAAAGTTTCTCATTTTCTAACCTCTTGGGGCTCATTTTACTAACCGCATCAATCATATTGCATAATATTTATGCCATGATTACCATTTCAATTATCATCTGGGGTTTTAACATTAAACTTCATATAATCTCATTTCATTAACCTCATTAGAGTTTATTATAATTTTCTTTACTTATTAGATACATTGACATTTAAGTTTTAATTCCAGGAAATTCATTGATTATTAATACATATTTTTCAAAAATTGCTATACTATTGACAATTTTTTTAAAAATATGAATAATCTCATGAATTCTAATTTTTAAAAACTTTTTTAATTCAAAAGAATTAATTACTTGAATTCAAATTGGGTTTCTTGGTACAGAACATTCATTACACTTTATGTTGTTTATTCAAAATCACGTCAAAGAAGTTGACCTAATTTATTTAACTATACATGTACTGCTTACTTATTTGTCAGTTGAATTATTATTTTTTAATAGGTTCTAAAATTAAAAAATAAATCAAACAAAATAAATTCACATTTTAGCATCATAATTCAACGAAATTAATGTTAATGTTTTTTCAATCAGGAATGCAAACTAGTGTATCGGGTAGAAACCCAATGCGGATATATTCACACCGTACCATCAAAAGTCTTATGGATAGACCAAGATTTGCTCAGCATAAGTTTGAAGGGAGGGCATGAAGTACGGCCGAGACCCAAATCGACACAGTTCAAAAGTTATACCTAATTTATGTCATAATTATGTCAGCTACAAAAACACTTAGTTTGAATTTTGTCATCCTCGGGAACACTTTGAACCAGTATAGCTGATTTTGGTCCAAATTTCGGCCATGCTTCACACTTATTTGAACCACATTCTCTCGTAAATGTTAAAATATTATTAAAAAGTAATTAATCCTGAATTATGTCGCTATTTTGTCAAGTGTTTCAAGATAAAGAATTTGTTTTTTGGTTTCAACAGTGAAGAGTATGAACAAAATTCAGATGAGGTAGTCGAAATTTTAGATTTCGTTTTTTTTTTGGCTATGCATTACAAAAAGTAATATTGGTATGTGATTTATGTCAGAATTATGTCAATTCAAATAAAACATCCAAAAAATTTTTTTGACAAAATACACCATAGAAAATCAATTATTTGTATTTGTTTTAAGCACCAGAATATTTGTGAAAAGTTTCAATCCATTTGGATAAACCCTCAAAGAAAAAAGTGACAAACTGATTTTGACTTGGGTCGCCCCTAGTCCAAAATTGAAATTGTATTTCCTACTTGGTTCTTTGCTCAAAAAAATTTTTGAATTTTTTATTTGTAAAGTTTTAAGCACTAGAATATTTATGCAAAGTTTCAATCCAATTTTATAAACCCTCGAAGAAAAAAGTGACAAAATTGATTTTGACTAGGGTCGCCCCTAGTCTAAAATTGAAATTGTATTTCCTACTTGGTTCTTTGCTCAAAAAAATTTTTGGATGTTTTATTTGTATTTGTTTAAAGCACTAGAATATTTATGCAAAGTTTCAAACCATTTTTATAAACCCTCGAAGAAAAAAGTGAGAAAATTGATTTTGACTAGGGTCGCCCCTAGTCCAAAATTGAAATTGTATTTCCTACTTGGTTATTTGCTCAAAAAAATTTTTGGATGTTTTATTTGTATTTGTATTAAGCACTAGAATATTTATGCAAAGTTTCAATCCATTTGGATAAACCCTCGAAGAAAATTCAATTAAAGATTTCCTACTTGGTTCTTTGCTCAAAAAAATTTTAGGATGTTTTATTTGTATAGTTTTAAGCACTAGAATATTTATGCAAAGTTTCAATCCATTTGGATAAACCCTCGAAGAAAATTCAATTAAAGATTTCCTACTTGGTTCTTTGCTCAAAAAAATTTTTGGATGTTTTATTTGTATTTGTATTAAGCACTAGAATATTTATGCAAAGTTTCAATCCATTTGGAT